CTGTTTGTAAAAGCAGGGTTCTCTCTAAATCCCTTTTTACCTCCCCTCCAGGGGCGGTCACTCTCAGCAGCAACCGCTTGAGCCTTCATTGTTACCTTGCTGTTACTAGCCAGGCTCTTAGTGTGAAAGCTGAACACTGGGACCCATCAGGCCAGCTCGAGATTAAAGCTTTCAGGCTCAGACAATAAAGGTTTACATCCCACTGGTCTCTGCTTGACTAGCGGAGCTGCTCAGATCAAAGTACCAGGATTGAAGGAGGGACGGAGAAAAAGGCTTGCTGTGTTTAGAGAGAGAGGCTCAGACTATTCTTGTTAGAAGATGCCAAGTAAGGGTCTGATCCTGCCAGGTGCTAAGCACCTCCTGTGTAGTGCTGACTGCTCTCTGTTCCTGAAATCAGTGGGATTACAGAGCATGGACAGCCGCCCAGAGCGGAGTCCTTGATGGCCTGTGCTCAGTATGCAGCCAAGAGGAGCAGCTATTGCAAGATCCGGCTGAAGTTTTCTTACTCAGGGCGGAGGGTTTTTTCCTCCTTCCACGGAGGGAGAGATCAGTTTCCCCAAAGTAAATGCAATTCTGAGCTGTGGTGTGGGGATAAAACCTGAACCAGCGGATCTGGCTGACAGTTCTGAGCTTTGCTGTTTTCTGACCTGTCAGACGTTGCTCTTTCGGTGGCAGCTGCTGTTTTGGATGTTTGCCTGGCAAGTCTGAAGCGTCCAGTCCCTAGTACAGACAGATCCTCTGGCCAGAGGGGTTTATTTGCACAACTGGGGGCAATTGCCCCTCTTTTCTAGGGGCCCGCAGGAGTAGAAATGACCCTGTTTTCACTAAACTGTATCTTTACAGTGAATAGAAAATATCACGCTGAAGGAAATTGTGTGTGGCAAGGCAGTTCTGAAAATAGAAGGCAGCCAGCAATGCTCAGGAAAGATGTTTGCATGAATGTCAGTTACCCGTAAGGCACATAACGAAGACAATTAAATTCCTCTTCTGCATTCAGAGGCTGAGCACTGCCTTTGATTCTGCTACTGGCTTTGCTGGTTTGAGACCATTCCCCTTCCCTCGCCCCACTGGGTCCTTTCCAGTTCTGTTACCAAAGGTCAGATGCTTGTCTGATTACTAGATAATCCAGCAACTTTTATGTGCAACTGGGGACTGGACTTAAACCTCTGCATTGCCCCTCCTCAGTCATAAAGGAAGCTGTCTGCACGTTACATTTGAGTGGGAACAACCAACCCAGTTTCCCATTGCCGAGAAAAACCACACGCCGAGTTATAGGATAATGGGAGATCCTTTTTCCTTAGCATGTGTCTTTCCTGCAGCACACTAGCCTGCTAGGCTTGATTTGCAACATGCCTGATCTCTAGGGAATGCTCAATGTGGGGCTGGGGATTGCCTAAAGCACGGCAGATCCTACCTCATGGGAATGCTGGGAGAGGAAGCTTGTTCCCAATACGTTCAGTACACGGCATCTTTCGAAGAAGTGTATTGAAGCAAGACCTTGTTGGTTTTAATCCTGCAGGCAGCATAATGGAAAAGGCTGCAAAGGCCCTTTAACTGAGGGTTGGCTAAAGCCCGACTCCCGGTGTTCTATAGTGGAGCTGCCCTCATCTTTAAAACAGAGACGACAGCGTTACACCCGTCAGTGGAGTTGACCCAGGTTTACACCAGATTGTCAGAGCAGCACCTGGCCCAAGCCCCAGCATGTGATGAGCCTTTTTGCCACTGCAAAGCTGCCACCCTCCCAGAGATTGTGTGGGACACCGGGCTGCAGCCAGCCTGTGTTGGCAGAGGCCCTTGACTCTGTTCTAGAGCACATGCTCACACAGAAGGTGCTGCTGGTGTTACCCCTCAACAAGTCCAGCTTGTTGGACATCTTCCGATGCAAAATACCGTCTCCCTCAGCATGAAACATTAGCCGGGTGGGCGCATGAGGGAGGTGATCTAGTCACTCTTCCAGTGGGGACAGAACCCTCATTGAATGTTGCCTTCTGCTGCTGGGGAAACAAAGCAATGTGTTGCTTACAGCTGGTAACTGGATGGCTGATAGACTTTACTGGTTGTGTTGATGTGCTTCTGTTACAGGCTTATTAAGGGAGATGGAGAAGTACTAGAAGAAATTGTCACCAAAGAAAGACACAAAGAGATTAACAAGGTAGACGGCCTTTGTACTGAAGACGCATTCTGGAGCCAGCAAGGCCCTAAGCTGGGTTGTAAAGCAGAAAACATGGGCTAGTGGCTAGAACACAGGCCTGGGGGGCAGGAGAGCTGAATTCTGCTGACTCGCTGTGTGGCCTTGGGGAAATTGCAGCCCCTCGCTTGGCTTTTCCTATCTGTAAAACTGGGATCATAAATCCTACCTAGCCAGGGTGGAAGTGGGTTTGATCACTCACATTAGCAGAGGCCTTTCAGCCTCTCACAGGTAGATGGTATGGAAGCACCAAGCATGATTCTTTGGGAAGACTGGCCTATAAGTGCCTGTTTGTCTGTTCCTTCACAGCAAGCCACCCGAGGAGACGGCCTGGCCTTCCAGATGAGGACAGGGATGCTTCAGTAACAGTCCAGATGTCAAGTACATCAGGAAAGGTGGTTTTCTTGTTCTGCTCGCTGAGACACTAATCTGCCAAAGCAGAAGCTCCCCATTCTCCCTGCACTGATGAGATCTGTGTGTGACACAGCAGGATCTTTACCCTTTGGACATGTCCTGTTCTGCTGGGTCCATCTAGTGCCTGGAGGAGGGAGTGACTTTGATGGCCATGGCTTCTCTCCTGCCAGTCCATGCAAAGTCCTTAAGACCTGACCAACATTGCTCTCAACTTGGTCACTTTCTGAGGCTCAACCCACTGCTGCTCAGTGAGAATCCCACCAGGGAGCTCATGGGTGCCATCAGCACAACAATGCTGAGTCCCCGGAGAAGACAAACTGACCCAGTTAACACCATGTTATCGTTAATACACTTCCTTGATGGTGATTCAGATTCCAAGCTCTAAGGCAAATGCCCAGGTACAGGCAGCCATAACCCTGCTGATACTGGGGTGACTGCCACAGTGATCCCCTGAAATGAGGCTGCTTTGAATCATTTTTCACAAGTGGTTGCTATGTGCCTGCTCTTTGAATTAATATTTGCCCTGTGTTTGGTTGGATTGCCCAGTTACACAGGGGTCCCTTTACTAGCCCTCAGCTGTACAGAGGCACATTCATACATTGCCCCAGCTTTGTGCAGGCTGCAACATTAGGTCCACATCCTGCAAGGTGCCTTCTCTCACTGAGCCAATGAGAGGTGAAGGCACTTGGCATGGTACAGGTTCAAGCTAATTAGCACTGGCTCCCTTGATGGCAGGCTGTACTGGGAGCTCAGCTGCTGTACCTGCCAGTGGGTGAAGTGTAATGGGCAGGGGTTTGCTCAGCCCTGCTCATGTCCCTGCACCAAAGCGATGCCCCTTCCTTGCTCTTTGTCTCTTGCCACCCTACGAAGGTGCAAGGGGCAGTTTTGGTTTGTTTGTGAAATTGGCCTTTCAGAAGCAGAGGAGCCCAGGAAAACTCAGTCTTCTGATTCCCCCCCCCCCCTTAACTTGGTGAATCTGAAAACTTGTACAAAATAAACTGGTTAAATCAATCCAGCAGCCCAAGTTATTCTTTTATGTGCCAGTGTGAATGGACGACAATTATACAAACCAATCTGTCGCAAGGGGACAGGCAAGATCTTTGTGTGTGTGTGTGTGTGTGTGTTTGGGCTAATACCCGAAGCTTTACAATGAATGCTTGCCCCATCCTCGGCACCCAGTGGCTTGCTAAGGAAAGCAGAATAGGTCAGAGTTTTGACCTTATGCTACCGCAGCTGAGCAGCTACAGCTAGTGAAATGCAAGACCTAGAAAGCCCAAAGTGCCGTCAGTACCACACTGCCTCCCCCAGAGACGCCTGTTTTACCTGCTTCCCTGGGTGACTTCTTAGTTTCCTTGGTCCCTTTACTCCACTCTATTGAACGGATCCCACCGCAGACTTCTTCAGTCACTTGGGTCTGATGCCTGTTGGTGGAAAGTCTTGTTCTGAACTGTAAAATCACTGCCTGTTCAAAAAAAATTGTCCTTCTGTATGGTTTGAACTAGTTTTCGTGTGCCACTTTTCTAGCCTCATAGAAGGACTGGAGGTGTTTGACTGTGGGAGGCTGATCACGTATATAAGGATTCACCTAGTCTGCTGGCAGGTCTATCAATGCATCTTCCATTCCCCTTTAATGCAGGCCTTCTCCTCTAGTAGCTGGGTGTTAGGCACATGGGTCAGATGGAGCCAACACACTTCCCTTTTATAAAGGCGCTAGTTATGGCACAAACCTCCCTGGGACCATACGTTTAACAAGGAGGACACTGACAGCAGCCAGGATGAGAGGGGGACAAGCCCTGGACAAACAGGTAGGTGTCGAAGTGGGGCTGAGCCAGGCGACTCTCTGCTGAGCCAGGCGACTGAACAGCAGAGGGTGCAGCTCTCTTGAGTCTCCCCCTTTGGAAGGGTCAGGATAAGGCAGCAGCGCTGACAGCAGGCGATGTGCGGGAACGAGAGACGGCCCCGGAGATAGCCAGACTTAGGCTTTACGGATAGTGCATTTCCCCAGCTGCATTTACGGGCAGCCAGTTCAAAGTGAAGCACCCACATGCTGGTGGGTGTCTCCCTGTTCTCCACTCTCACGCTCTGCTGTCGTTGATTCACTTACTGTGTCCCATCATTTCACTCACACACTAGCTGTAGAACATCTTCTGCAATTCAGAGCACAGAGTGCTTGTAATTGTCTCTCTCTTTTCCATTTGGTTTCCATTTGCCTCGTGTCAATGTGTGTAGCCCCTGAATTTTTCTGCTCAGCAATTTACGTCTTTGCCATCTTTTTCTTTGGCATCTAATCCCATTGGACACTTTCATTAAACCGGATCATTTTCAGTTCCCAATTCCTAGCTTTTGTGATGCATTAACTGTCAGTTTGTAAGTCACCAAAAGAAGCAGACACAGAAAGTAGCCTTCCCGTTTCTTTAATCTGTGTAATGTACAAAGATACTGTACACAAAGCACACCCAGGCATTAGAACAATGCACTAACAGCAAGGAGGAAAAGGAAGTTGTACAGTAGTTATGGTTTGTTACATACAAGCAAATAGATCTTAACAGTATTTTACACACACAACATAATACACAAAATGAAAACCAGGAAGCGGCAGACTCGGGTCTAACTCTCATTCCCTGGTGGGGTGCAGGTGTGTCTGTCAAATTAAGCGATGATGTAGTTCCCCCCCCACCTGTATCCCTAAAAGATTTTTTTTATAAATAAAATAGAACATTATTGAATATAAAATTGACAGTCAAGGATATCAATATCCAGGGTTTTCATACAAGGAGAGGGAGAAAAACGTAAGGCTTCTAGAACTAATAGGAAAATGCAGCAAAGGTGAAGATACCTGAAGAGCAGGGGCTACTACAAGAAGTGCAGGTTGCTTGTGGGAAGAGCGGTTTGTTAGTAACCCTTTGGTTAGCTATTGGTTTTCATTTAACGTATCTTCTAACACTAGACACATTTTTTTTTGGTATTAAAATTTTGCCTTTTTAATAATTTATCAAAAGAAGAAAATAAGGAATTAAAGTGACAGTTTGGATTTAAAAAAAAGAAGAAAAACTGGAAAGGGACAGTGTCAGGTTTCTGTCCCAACGTTCAGATTACAGAAAAGCTGCTTTTTAGAAAAATCCACATATTTCAGATCCACAGAAATGTTTCCACGAATGTTTAATTCCAGTGGAAACAGGTGTTGGTTTTTAAAACCCAATAAATAAATCCCTCTGTCCGGTCCTCGCAATATAAACATTGCGGCTTTGTGCTGAGTGCATGAGAACCAGGAAGTGATAGTTACCAGAACCAACTAGTCTGTTTTCCTTGGCCAAGCTGATGAATGCAAAAAGGAACTAACCAGCATAACGGTGAAAAGTATAACAAACTTTTAATATTCCTTCTGTTTTAAACAACTCAGAACTGTTACTTGTAACAAAGGTAAATAAGGTCTTTAACCTGACAGTGCCCCTTTAATAAGAATGGAAAATACATTCAGCTTTCCCTAACTGTATCCCAGTGCAGCCTCTTTTGTGCATTTGGAAAGAGATTTTGTTTCAAATGCACCACTCCCTAGACCATTTCAGAGCAGTTTATAAACACAAAGTTAAACTATTGCTATTGTTCTTAGAATGACAGCGTAATATACTGATCTTCGCTTCAGACAGACAAGAAGAAGACAGGGATGTATGAGACGATAGATTCATGGGGAACTATAGTGTACCTGTATGGGTGAAAAAAAACTATCCACATATTTCATGTTAATACATGGCCACATATCGGCTATTATTGCAGTGATGAACAAAGATTCTGCACTATCATTGTTTTCTCTGTATGGATTCTTACAATGGAAACAGATGGGGGAGAAGTTGGAAAATCCAAGAAGCTTAACAAAGGGTCAGAACACAGGTGCTATGATTGTCAGTCTCACTGATCATTATTGGTTTAAAATATGGAGTGATGGAGAGGTGATTATAATATTGCACTTCTGCGGTCATTGACAATTACATTAAACTTGGTCCATAAAATAATTGCTTTGTACATAATGCCTGAAACAAAAAAGCTACATTTTAATATTAATAATCTCTGAAGGTTCTGTTCCCTCCAGACACTTTTTCTCTACATAAAATAAATAACTTTCACTTTGTATATACCCACTTTTGTTTTTTTAACATTTACATTATCCTCAGTTTTACACTATCTACACACAAGAAAATGTTAACGTCTCATCTGCGTTTTGAAAAAAATGTACATATCATGCCTTGGTTTGTGGACTCTTCTTTCAGAGTAAGATTGAACTTTGTAAAGGCCATATCCAAATTTGCAAATACGCTTTGTGATCATGGTTTGGTTACTTTACAGAATGGACTGCGGCTTGCTTCTAAGTCAGATGGCAACAGTTTGGTACAATATTCAACTAGCAAAAAGCTATGACACAATTCACATTTTTACCCAGTAGCTTTGGATATACATTCAAGGTAACTAGGCTGAGTCAGCAGAAAGGGAAGTAATTTTTTCAGTAGTAAAAATCTGTACGTATGTTCTGTAATATGATAATTATCAAAGATGAATGGCGTAGTAGTTTGCAATGAGGCTAAGAGTAAGTGAGATGCACTGTGTTAGTGGGTGGATCTGTTAAAGCTCCATCAACCTGGACATTCTCAGTAGTTAAACATTGTCCTCTTTATATCACTGTAGGGATAGAGCACACATTCTAAATTAGTTTTGAAACTTGAGGTTTAAGCAGTAGTCATGAAATAAGATTTTTGATGCCTGGATGAGTTATGTCTGCCTACTGCAGCTCTGAGCCGGTTAGCAGAGCAGTGTTCACAGTGCTGTGTGTCTCGGTGCAGAAGTGCTGCACTTAGTACTGAAACAGTTAATAAAATGAAGCAGACAGTCTAAAAAATCTGTTATAAATAAGATCCTTGTAAGTAGAAAGTGATATAAACATAGTATATTGTGGTGGAGGAGAGCAGGATAAAACTTAGCCAATGAATGTGCTATGAATATAAAATCTTCATGTGAAATAGGCAGGTGGGAGCCCCAAATATCCCAGTGTGGATATTTCCCATACCCCAGTTGGTGTGTGCAAGAAGGAAGCTGCACCCTTCACCGAGGCTGGAAATTCAGAAATCCTGGCTAGTTTGACCTGGGAGGGGGCAGGGCTTTCAGGCAACCCCTCTGTTCTAGGCACTGTTCTCTGCTCCTCCTTAAATTATGTCCTTCACCTTTGAATACCTTGTGGCTGACAATTTCCTCTTCTGCAGTGGTCGGTAGGGGGTGCTAGCAAGCAGCCCAGCACGTTGTCCTGCAGACTGGAAATGTCACCTCTGCAGTGCTCCCAGACCCTGGCATGCTCAGTGCAAGAGAGAGATTCAAGTCATGGCAGCGCACCAAACCATCAGCTCACACACATCCACTGAAAGAGAGGCTAGGAAAATTAAGATATGGCCTTTTCTTAAGCTTGTGCAACTTAGTTGGCACACTTCCTTACAATCTCCTTATTGTTGGAAAAACTTCTGCACAAATTTATATATATATAATATACATGTATATATATACACACACCCTGGCTTAGTAATATTTAATTGTCATGCACTACAAACAATTAGGTGTAGCTACATGAGATGGTAACAGGTCTCCATTCTAAAAATTATCAGTGCAAAAACAATGAGGTTTTACAGTTGAATAACTACAGTTAAAAGAAACAAGTCTAATTCCCGTGAAAGCTGTTACTGATATCGGAGAGGACCTGGGAAGAAGAAATGTCTCTGAGTTGGGGATAGTGGTGAAATATTTGGACTCTGCATTTTGACAGGAAATGCAGTGTAATCTAGTTGTTGAGTACTTTCAGACACTTAAATATATGGTGGTTAGTTTCTGAAATAATATACAGCAGTAATACTTGGAGAACTATACAGTAAAGTAAGTGGCTGATGTTTTTAACAGCTAAAACAAAACTCCTTGTTTTTTTTAATAGCTTAATGCATTAAATTCCATCCCCTTTCAAAATGTTTAAAACAAAACCAAAAAACGAATGACCCCACTTTCTAGAGTATCAATCTGCTGACATACGGCTCCTACCAACAGCAGTTGACACTTGGTTAATGCCTTGCTGATATACATCCTCCTGGGTACAAAGTGGATGAATTCTAAGCTCTCTGTACATGTAAAACACTTGATTGCTTCACCCAGTGCAGAAGAAGCCTCTCGTTTCAGCCTCTCTGCACCTTGGAAATGACATACTTAGTTTAAAAACACACAAAAAAGTACTGGTATCCAGCAGTCTCTTTCAGTCTGGCTAATGGAACAACCCAAGTGAAAGGTCTAACCAGACTTCTCCTTCCACCCCATGGCACTGAGGATCACACTCAGTCACGTGTATCTGATTGATGGCTAAGAAGGTGAGGGAGGCACATATTTACAGTCGCTAAACCTGGATAAGAAAAGGAGGCAGAAGAGAGCATAGTCTTGATCTGGAAACTGTTTGTTTTCCCCCTTGGTTCCCTAATTTCAAATGGTTTTTCGGGCTAGTGCTCTGCAAACCCAACACGCCATTTTAAGGCCTGCACATTCCATGTGGAAAATACACCAGCCTTTCCTCCTAGCATACCATGTTGTTGTTAGAGAGTAGCACCATATTTACCCTTCCATCTCACACTGCTGGCCTTGTCCTTTATTCCTTCTGTTTCTCCTCCGGTGGCTGTGGCCGACTGTCACTGGCTCCTGGCTGGCTCTACTTCTGACCTAAAGTGCCAGATTCCAGTTTTGAGGCTGCGCTCCGGCCCCAGCACCCAGTGGCAATGCTCATGCTTCTTTGGCTACGCTCCCGCTCTCTCTCCCTATCGCTGTCCGACTGGCTCTGCGTTCGTTCAGGTCTGTGACTGGCATTCCCGCTCGTCCCCGGGGGCTGTGAGGAGATGGTACGTAGCAAATGGTTCCTCTTGCGCAGGAAATCTGGCTGGCTGGGGAGACCAAAGCTGCCTTTTCTCAATGCCATCCGGGTCGTGTTTTTGGCAGGCCGGGAGCGATGGTTATACTCCAGCTGGGCAAGGTGGGCTGCGTACCCCTCAGTAATGAACTGTGAAACAATAGGTCAGGGGGGTTTATAGGACACAGTCAACTTGAAATCAACAACTTTCAAAAAAAAAAATGGAGTCACAGTCGGTTCAGATCCCACATCTGCCTTCAAGTCCCTCTGCCAATTGCGGTTTGACAATCACTTTCTTAAATGTTTCTTTCCCCTGTTGCTTTGTGGAAATCCCACAAAAACAGCAGAGGGAACAGACTGAGGAGGCAACCGACAGGGACATACGGTGCTGTCACATGCACAAAGGAAACTAACTCTACAGAGAACTGCCCCCTTCTGATCTTCTGCTTTACGCAGCCAACATAACAGCAGGGACAAGTTCAGACAAAAGGGGGATTTTTAAGTGGACACGACTTCATTCAAAAAAAAAATCTAATTATATAACACTACAAGACACAATGCAGTGGAACAACTGGTATTTTCACTCCATTATTTCCATAGTGGTGATGCATAAAGCAAGGAACCCTCACACCTCTCAGAGAGATGCGGAGGGATCCTGGTGTGTGGGAACTTTCTCTTTACAAAACAGTCTAATCTTGCTTCTGGTGAAGTTAGCGGGTACGTCCAGATTACCCACCAAATCGGCGGGTAGTAATCGATCTATCGGGTGTCTAAACTCCCACTGATTCCAGTAGGGGCTTTAGTGTTCTACAGACAAAATAACCAGGATTCCTACCTGACACTGGTGCTGTAATTTCTTGGTTGGTCGGCCAACGATATAGATGTGCGTGGGTGGCAAACTAATGGCGCTGTAGACTGAAATATCCTTAGTGGATCCGTATGCGGCGTGGATCCTCATGTGGAGCTGTGGGAAGAGGGAACAAGTTTATGCTAGGACACCGCTCAGACACAGCCATTGTAGGAATATCCAGTCAAGAGGGCAATGCAAGTCCCACCTGGACAGTGCTCTGCAGAATTATGTACTAATTAACCAACAGCAATGCTGAGAGTTTGTACTATAGGCTGATTACTGTTCTAGCTGTACTGCAGAATACAAGGGCAGAAGGAAGTTAGGAACTACACGCGCAATGTAGCTATGTTTACCTAATGTCCTTTCTTTGTGTGGCAGGCTCCACAGCTCTGTTCCAAGGATTTTTATATACACTGTAGCCAGGGAGGGAGCATTTTTCAATTATATTCCGTAACTATTTACATGCATCTGACGAAGTGGGGATTCACCCACGAAAGCTTATGCTCCAATACGTCTGTTAATCTATAAGGTGCCACAGAACCCTCTGTTGCTATTTACATGAAGAATTCCCTTCCACTGAGAGATCGCCGCACGCAACACTGGCTTGGAGGCTGGGTTAGCCAGACTGCATCTCTAATTTTGTTGGATTTTGAGGCGGTTTAGACAGACAACTATGCATATCACCTTGCATGATGCACTGGATTTTTCTACCCATAAGTAGTTACTGCTCTGTTCCCACAGAGCAGAAGATTTCATTTACCATTTAGCCAGACATTTGAGAAGATCATTTTGCAGCTGTGGAGGTGGAATAAACCTGGTGGGGCTCTGCAGGAGGAGGTGCTTATCCTGCATGGACCCATCTGGTTCTTCCTGCAGAGCTGCAAGCTGGCCAAAGACCCACTGTAGCAAATCTGTGACCCTTAGTGCTCTCTGGAAAGGTCAATTTCCAACAAGGGATAATAATATAGCATCTTCTATAACAAGGGGATTCCAAAGACAGCTCACTCTTGACATTTTCGACTTAGATTTCAAGTTACAGGCTGATTCCAACAGTCATTGCGTTCAGTATTTAATGATGGGCTTTCATTTTGTCAAGATGGTGGGAGAATAAGGCACAGTGACCCTAGAATAATGGACATTATATAATAATAATAATAATAATATATGGAGATATCCTGTCTCCTAGAACTGGAAGGGACCCTGAAAGGTCATCAAGTCCAGCCCCCTGCCTTCACTAGCAGGACCAAGTACTGATTTTGCCCCTGTTCCCTAAGTGGCCCCCCTCAAGGATTGAACTCACAACCCTGGGTGTAGCAGGCCAATGCTCAAACCACTGAGCTCACTATGGTTGACAATGGCATATGTGATCCAGTGGGCTAGATAACTTTGGGATCACCAAGGTGGCCCCATTAAGTAGCCCTGATTTATCACTGAAATAAAGGGGAAATTCGAACAGCCTAGGTCTAAGACATGATAAAAGCCCATCAGTTACCAGGCTGAAATATGACATTATGGAAATCTGTCCAAAGACGGCACTTCGCAGTCACATTGCTATCAGAGCTTGAAAAGGCCCTGACAGTGACATCTGCTCCAATCCCAGAGGCCAGTGTAGAATCAATCCCCTCAACATATTTTCTAGTATTCAGCCCAGTCCAGTTTTAAATGTCACAAGCTAAAAAGCTTCCACCACTTCCCCCCGGACGCTGTTCCTACAACAAGTAGATCTCATGGCCAGGAAGTTTTTCTGGTATTCAGCATAAATGTTTACATTCTTAATTCTTGGAAGCCACTCCTCCTAGTTACATCCCTAAATAACTCCTTTCCCTCTTTGCAATTTACACCTCCTCATGCAGGAGACATTTAGCATGTCCCATTCTGAGTCATCCTATACCCAAACTGCAGATACAGTATATGCTCTTGTGATCTTTCCTCCAGCTCGCTGATCAATCTTGTTGCTCTTTTCTGCTCTCTCTCCACCCAGGTAATGTATGCAGTATGACCTTGGGGGGTCCCCACAGGCAAAGAGTACACTGGGCTAGTCTTTAAAAACAGAATCTGTGCAGTAGGTTTTATTTTGTACTTCATTCTCCACTCTCTCTAACAACCTTTAGGATTGACTGGGTTTAACTGCATGCAGTAAAGTTGGTGCCTTTCTATTGCTTTCACATTTATTACACTGTCTGGTCTCCTTGGCACCAACAGCCTCTATAAAAGTTGCTGGTTAATTTCCATGCTGAGTGAGAGCCAGATCTTGTGAGGGGAACATTTGAATGGGGTTGTGGATCCTCTGGGCCTTGCAGAATAGGGAGTACAAACCAAGAAGTTAACTCCTATTTACTTCCTTGGTTGTGCACCTGGTACAAAGAGCATGCACAGCCTTTGCTGGAGAGAGGCAAAGTGATCTCCTGGTTAGAGCAGAAAACTAGGACTCCTGGGTTCTAAGCCTGGCTTTTCAGATGATCCTCTCTGTGATGGGTAACTCAGCTCTGTGTCTCAGATTCTCTCTGTAAAAGGGGGATAATATTTACCTACATCAGAGGTGTTGTGAAGGATGGGTGATCGATAGCAGTAAAGTGCTTTGAGATCCTCCAAGGGAAGGCGCTGTAGCAGTGCCATATCATCATCAGTTGGCTGCTGCCGGGCAAACTCACATGTTCTGATATGCCCGACAACATTAACATCTTAGCAAGGGATGGATTGAAGTCCTGCCATCTCTTGTGACATTCACTGATCTGTCAAAGCCCCTCTCTAGCTGCTCTGCTATCATCTGAACCAGCACTTTCTTCCCATCACTACATGCATCACCCTAAACTACTCCAATTCTCACCAACCCAAAGCAGTGAGAGATGGAGACCTGGAGGTCTTCTTAAGCCCTGCAAAGCACTGCCAGGGCAGGCCAGTCTTCAAAAGATAAAGGAAATTATATGGCACTTCTATAGAATCCTGCATCCAAGGATCTCAAAGGACTTCACTAACATTCAACCACAGGAGGAATTAACTATCTCAACTGGCATTTGGCCATGACAACAAGGTGAACAAGCCTTCTCCTGCAAAAAGTGCCAAAGGATTTCTAATGAGCACATTGGTTTTGTTTCATCTGAAGGATGGTATGCACCCTCAGCACCATGAGAGGGCATTCATTCATTAGATCCCCCACCATCAATCCTGCCTGGATGTTCCTTAAAGGTCTGTCATCCAAGTGCTAATCCGGCCCAACTCTCCAAGTAAAGATGAGTCCACCCCAAGCCCCTGAACTGGAACTTTGGATCAGAACTTGGCATCTATATAATGGACCTCACCCAAACCCCAGATCTTAATGTTCACAAACATGGAGATTCCAGTCCAAATTTTCCCAGATAACGGGGTATTTGGATTCGGCCCAATATGGAGACAGGCTTGAATTCTGGGTTTTGGTTGGCTGCAGGTCACAATCTCTTTGACAGCCCTCTATCTATAAGGCATCCCTTTATCTGCAGATATGACAGGCATCCAGAAATGCACTAAGCAGGTGGGGAGAAAGCACAATAATCATGATTCCCTCTAGGGCAATAAGCATTTAGTAATGGAAGCAGCAAGGATTGCAGCACAGCGCAGAATGGAGCGAACATATTTTAACTGCACAGACACCTTTGTGGAGTTAGAAAATAAAAAAACAGGGGGTGGGGTGGCTAAAAATAAAATGAATGCAGGTTAATCTCCCACTGCAGAGCAGGACTTGACTAAGCCGGGTCAAGTGGATGAACCCTCGCTTTGCTCACATCTCAGTACAGCCCATACTTACGTCTGTAATGAGGGTTTTCAGGAAGTTGGCCTTGTGCCGCAGTGGGTCATGGACAAGCCCATCACAGAATGAGACTATCCCATGGGGGAAATTGTGCTGTGCTAACCATGCCACCACCCTTTGCTTCTGCATATCAGGTCGGCCTGTGACATAGATAATGAGGTAGCCAAGGTCTTGCCAGTGCCTGGTGGGGGAAAAAAACAACAGCGTATTATGGACCTATATTTGAGGTAGGATTAAAATATTCATTTAATACGAAAGCATTTCCCCCAGCCACTGACCTTACAACATCAACTGCGCCAGCTCTGACTTTGGGGTCACTACCCATTATAGACACGCTGGCTGCAAAGGAACCATCAATGCTGAAGACCACAAATTCCGTCCCCTTAGGTAGAACGGTGATATAGCTATCTGCATATGTGTGGTCACCCCTACAAGGAAAGGAATAGGGGGTTAAAAACAGTGGACAAACCTGGCTGAGAGATTAAAGCTACAATGCCCATTTGCAATACCAATTCAGAAAGCATACACTAAACGACCAGGGAATACAGAAAATTAAGGGACAGATCCTGCCATCACTTCATACACACAATTCTGCTAAGGCCCTACACCCCCTCCTGTGTCTTAAAGGTTAGATCATCTCAGCTGATGTAAATCAACACAGATCCACTGATTTCAGAGTTACTCCGATTTATACCAGCTGCAGATATGGCCTGTTGTGTCTGTATCTCAGCACAAGTGGTGGAGAAGACTATCCACTGATCTGATAGGTATGTACTCAGAGAGGAAGGAAGGCCTTGTGGGTAAGGCGCTGGAATAAGACTCAGGAGATACGGCTTCTGTTCCTGACTTGGCAAATCATCTTTCTGTGCCTCAGTTACCCATGTGTCAAATGGATGATGCTAATGATTTCCTGCCTGGCAGTGTTATTGCAAGGATAAAGGGACAGATTTTTTAAAGGTATTTAGGCACCTAAATTTGCAGATCGCTGCCGAGTGGGAGTTTCAAAAGCACCTAACCCCCACTGAGAGGCAGTGCAGGGTCTTTCCTCAATGGTAGTTGGGTACTTATGAAAATCCCACCAGGTGTCTATTAAATATCTTTAAAAATCTGCCGCAAAGTCATTAATGATACTACAGCGAGAAGCCCCACAGAAAATGCCCATATGTTAGATGAATATAATTACAGTGACTTGGACTAGCGTTGTGGGGGGCTCCAGCTTCAGTATGTTTCAATGCCTCTAGAGCAGATTTGTTCAGTTCACCAATGACAAGATGCTTTTTGGCGCTGCCTGCTCTGAAAGCCAAAAGTCAAGCTAGAGACTTTCTGCATTGTGCATCATCACTAATAACAAAGGCTCTGCCCTAAGGGGAACCTGGGCAAGTGCAAGTTTACAGTCTTCAAGGTGCGCTCAGCTGTGCAGTTCCACTGAAGACAATGAAGTTGCACATCTGGAAAAGGAGGAAAAGTCTGGCCCAGCCATTGGAACTCAGTTAACAATGCTGTTGATGATGCAGGAGGCAGAACAGAATACAGCTCTTTGTCCCATCGCTGGTGCTGCAGGGTAACGAGTAAAATTGTTTTGTCCATCAAGTCAGCAGATCAGACTCTGATGATACAATAGGGAGAAGAGCGTTTGATAAGAACAAGCCACTTTTTAAACACAGTCACTTTTCAGGTAGAATTGCACTTGACCAGTTAACATTTATTTTCTATGATTTTCTATCATGCAATCAGAATAACTGAGAAGTGTCTACAGTCTTTTTCAGAGAGTCCTGTCAAACTGGGGGCTAAGCCAAATGAGCTTAAAGCTCAGCACCTGACCACCATCTTGATGGGATATACGCCAATCCCCAGACGCTTGTTCTCAGGGATAACGTAGGAAATCCGGCCACTGCTGTTGCTGATTTCGGTGTCAAAGTAAATCCACTCTCCAGATGGCGGCTGGGTCATGATGTGAATGTCCACCTGGGAGGCAAAGGAGGTTCAGGACTAAGGAAGTATTAAATAACTCTGAGACTAGACAGGATCCTAATCTGGGTCTGAACATGGCGTCCTCAAATCTCTCTCAAGTGTAATGCAATAGATAGGCTGGGCAAAGGGGGCTCTTAGTAGACACAGGAAAAGGTGCTTGATTGTGCAGGTAACTGGACAGTTCTCTCTTTTAACGTTTACAGATACAAAAGGAACATTGGCCAGCAACTACTACTGCCTATGTCTTTTGCTATTTATGGGCAATGCACACCTAAAGCAAATGTACCTTTTCCCCAGTGAGCGTGACCATGTCTAACGGCCCATACATAAACCTTCCTGTTAAGGTCTGGGGTCCGTCTTCATTAGCGATGGCATCATTGATTCTGTGGTTGGCTGTGACATTCTGCAGACGTCAAGGGAAAAACAGAATAAACCTAGTTAGATTCCCAGCAGAACCTCATGGCTAATGCAAAGTTGCTATAGTGATAATAATGCCAAACACATGGACAAACAGGAGTTTTTGGAGGAGTAATTTTCTTCTTGTGACATCCTCTGTCCCCCTACACTATTATATATCTATATTAAACAACACACATTTTTAAGGAAAAAGAAGTATTGTACATTTAGGACAAGACTTTTAAAGGGCCTTCTGCACTTGGTCTCCGTTTTAGCTATAGTAATTTATGGCCACGTGATTTGCACCCACCATCAATTGTGGGCGTGGATCCTAATGTATTTGGCCAAGGAGCTGATGTCTGGGTGCAGTTAATTACCTAGTCATGTAAATGGTAGAATTTGCACCTACAGTTAATTGATCCTGAGCATTATTTGAGAAGGGGCCTCTACTTGGTTTCCCTGCTGCCACTCCTAACAGGCAAAATTTGAGTCTGCAAAAATGATGGTTGTCCTTTCTGGACCTTTATACATGCATATGCCATGATCTCACACAATGATACTGTCACTGGCTAGTAATACTACTCCGGATCCTTGGGGCACAAATACTGTATAGTGAGGGACACAGAACACCTTGAAAATCCGATCCCTTGTGGTGCAAAATTCTGTATGTTGCACCTTCAAATCAGGAGGCAAAATGACTGTCATCAGGAGTCTGCTGACATTATTACTGGCTAAACAAACTTCCCGCTCATGGAATCAGAAAAGCTTCTCATCCTCTGGATTCAGGAACTCCAGGGAATGACAGTTACTGTAAAGACAATTCAGGACACCAGACTTTGACACAATTCCGTCTCCTTTCTTGACCTATAGCCAACACTCAGTATTTTATATGGAGGAGACCTTGTGGCAGAGAGTGTCTCTCTCTTCCAGAAATCTATAACTGGGATATCTCACTGACACATCCGATTACTGCAATGCAACCTCTCCAGCCCCGTGTAATTGTGCAGTCCATGGGCAGTAACAGAGTTGTACCCATATTGGTTAACTTTAAAACTGTTCTTATTACAGGCCCAAATCCAGCTAAATCATGTTTAACAGTAGTTTCCTTTGGGGAGACATAATAGAAACACTATTACCCTTAGCTTAACATGCGTCCTCTTGCGCAGCCACTTCTCCCTGGGCTTTGAAGGAGTGAATACAGAGACCTCCTTTCCATCCAGTTCCAGAATGCTGGAGTTTTCGTGTCTCATCACCTAAGGAAAGACCAGCCCCCATCAGCAACTCATGACGCACCTGGGCTAAACCCCAAGAGCTGTAGGAATTTCATAGTGAATGCACCCGCTGCAGCTTTAGGGTATTTATTCCTCTCTGCTGCGTTTGCAAAGCATGTGATGGAATCACAGCATTTGCTGGGCAGGTGGCTTTATAGAATTTTGCTTGCAGGAAATTTGCATTGTTAGTCTACAAGATTTTTCTGGCCCTCCCATAACTGTATGATGTTAGTGATCTTTAGAGCCAGGAAAGGTTGTTGCCAGAGCTGAGTTATTAAGAAGTGGGTTGAAGCTATAAAAGGGAACCTTAGACTGAGATGATAAGTAGGCACATAGGAGGGCAAGTGTGAAAGCATGGTGAAGCATGGTTAGGACTAGAATGAGAGAGAGATGAAAAAGAAGCAGAGGGAAGCTAGAAAAGGCTGAAGAGACAGTGGAATGAGTCTGGGAAGAGTTAAGGAACAGAAAGAACTATAGGGGAGTTTAACAAGCTGAGTACAAAATGGAGCAAAGGCAACGAAGCACAGATGCTGATCACAGATACATAACTGCTAGGCTGCTAGTGTAACTCTCTTGGCTTCGCTGGGCTTATACCGGGGATGGATTTTGTCCCAGATGTTCAATTAACACAAACAGAGTTTGTGGCACCTCAGACCCTGCTACTTCCTTGAGACCATGTCCAAAAAGCTGCCCTTGGAAAATGCTCATTCAGCAAACACTGCAGGGGAAGAACTTTGGCACTCAGGTACTTATAGAAAACTGCCTCTTCTGTAGGGAATCCTACAGTTTGCAGCCACCATCTCGCCTGACTATGCTCCAGCCTTGCCTGCCTTCTTGCCAGGTCCTCAAGTCACATACACATTTCCAGTCATTATTTGCTTGCCATTTCAGTAATTCAGATCCATCGCTACCTGTTCCAACTGTGCTCGCTTGTCTGCATGTGTCATTTCCTCAGACTTATTCTTCAGAAGTATTCTCATCATTCCCTCCAGTCCTACTGAGTCTGCCCTTAACGGGTCTGCGCAAGCTGGACCCTACGAGGGCTAAGATCCCAGCAGGCTTCCTGATTGGGCTGGAGTCAATCCCAGTTGCCTGTCATCTAGTGTTTCTATTTAAATACATTGCACATGGCGTTCTCCTGTCTTGCTTCTTGTGCTCCTCTCATTTTGATGATGACATTAGGTATTGAGCCAGGTTCAGCACTGGGCCAGCAGTGTTCTGTGATTTAGAAGACCCGAGTTCAGGAGAGGAATGGGGCTCTGGCTCTCTGGGTCCACGGAGAAGTTCCGGCACATCATACAGTATGATGTTCCTGCACTGGAATGGGGACGAGCGGACTGACACAATGAGATTTGCAAAGTGTGCAAACATTTCCTATGGTAAGCTCACTATCAACCTTTGGGGACATCTGCCGGCTGGATCAAATGGCAGAGGGAAATGGGGTTATGTTCTGGGTTCACACTGCAGCTAGTCTGTTCTTAGGTCAGTTCCAGAAGAGGGGAATCTCACACAGAAAACAAAAAAGGACTGGGCAGAGAGATTACACGGAGCATTTTGAATTGTACTATGATCAGATGGCTTTTTTCCAATTTTCTCCCAGGCCATGAAAAGATTGAAAGGGGCTCTGTCAAGTGAATAAACATATTTTAAAAACCTCACACATTCCCTCACGTGTTACCATTTGCCCCATGTAGATTAAAACTGAAGCAATCTGATAGGCCAGTTTACTTTGCAGAATTTAGACTTTCATTTTTCCATTTCACTCACAGCAAAACAAGACTGGTCAGTTTCACCTCCTGGTTCTCCTAATCTACCTGCCCCACCTCCACTTCACCCCCAATGCTGTTGGGAATGAAAAGCTAAGGGGATGAATAAAACAATGGCCTTCACTGATGAGAAATTTAAATCACGAAAATGTTTCTGATCATATTTGCATTTATTTGTTTTAATAAAGCGTAAGGTTTTGGGCCTAAATCTACTTGATAGTTTCCTTTTCACTTTGTCCGGAATGCCTTTCAATGAGGATTAAAATCATATCCCTATCATTAGCTTTCCAATGCTGGCATTCTAGGCTGTTGAATAAGAGGGGAGGCGGCACAGGGCCTTGGAAGAACAGGGAGGGGGGGGGATTGAGAAAGATAACGCTCTAGAAGCAGAGGTGGGGCAACGGAGAGAGACAAGGCTAAATAAACAGCACTGCAGAGGCAGCCACTGCTGAGCTCCAAGGGCTTTGAATGGACGGCAAGGATATTTTTCATGCCACAAGATGTAAAGTCACACGCTGCGTCACACAAACATGTTTTCTTTGCATTCTGAGTAACTGGCTGGGCTATTTCTAGAACAGGACATTTTGTGTGTTAGACTCCTTAAGGCTCTGACACACACACACACACCGTTTTCTTCCTGCAGCCGTTTAGGCGAAGTTCCCCATTGGAGCCTACTGTTCAAAATCAGGAGACATAGCATGTGACTGCAACATTGGCCCACTGGGTTGGAAACTAGAGACAGGGCAGGGAATAAAGGGTCGAGATCAATTAATACCAGGGTACTGCAGCCACCAGTGCTAACATCCCCGTTGTTATGGAACCTACCAACAAACTTGGACGACAGCAATGAAGAAGAGTTTGCCAATAGAGGGCTATAAATAATGGAGAGCTGCAGTCAGATATGCTGCAACAGCGCTGGGGTAATTTAAACCGCTGAGCTAATACACAGCAAACCCAGGCCAATATGAGGAGCTGGATCCTACCCGGTGCTGAGTAGCTGCACAGGTGAGGATGCTAGTACTTCACTTAAGCCAGTTCAAAGTTTAGACTAAAAGGAGTTGGAGCATAAAATCAGGGTACTGGGATTAAATAATTATTCTCCATTCTTCAGCACAGGGCCCCCTGGAATTTTTTCTGGCAAAAGGGACTAATGCAACCAACACCAAAGTGGGTAGATCCCCTCTGAATGCTCCAGCACCAGGCCACTGGCAATTCAGAATAAACGGGGGCAGAACCAAAACGGATACAACTGGCTCCAGTTCAGCTACAGTCTGTGGAGTGATGATCCCAGACTATCCCTTTGTACTGGGTGACCTGTCCTCTCGCTAGCGCCCAACAGAAGAGGCACCAAATGAAAAGATGTTTCCAAATCCTTATCGGGGAAAGAACTTGGGACAGAGAAAGGAGGGAGAGAAGAGACTCCAGCCCACTGTGCATCTGGAAGGACACGGCCAGCGGCTTGCAATCCACAGAAGCAGCCCCCTCTCCGCTGTGATGAAAATGACAGAGAGCATCTCTGCTTGAGTTTTAGAAATGAATGATGTTGGGCCATGGCAATACGGTCACTAGAGCAGCCCTTTGGGCTCGTGTGTTTTTTCGCAATGTTTGTGTTGCAGCGAGGGATTGTTATGCTCTGACAATGCACTGTGCTTTAAAGGTACATTGTCAACTTAATAATCTTGGCAAGAGTTTTCAAACCCTGGGGGCTAAAGTTGGGGCTTCTAAATCTATATTGAGACAACCACAATTCCCAGGGGTTAAGCACTTGCAGCTCCCACTGACTTCAGTGGGAGTGTGGTATTCAGGGTCTCTAAAAAAATCAGGCTACGTTGATTTAGCTGCCTAAGCATAAATCTAGGAGCCCAACTTTAGGCCCCTGATTTGAACACATTGCCCCACATGTCACAAGCTAGCAAGTTTCTTCTTTAACTATTTATGTTCCTTTTTACTCTTTGCATTTCTCTCCAGGTGGACAAGGGCAATCAAGAAGAATGTGTCTCCCTTTTGTTCATAGTTGTTTTCACCTTTAGGGTCTTAATACTGCTATTTTTGGGTTTCATGCACTTCTGGGAAAACAACTATTTTCAATGTTCGTTTGTTTGCTTTAAAGGGAAATATCCCCACTGGTTTTAGAAAAAAAATGTGATTTTGCAAAATTTAAATGTGTCACCAAAGTTATACTGAAAGAATCCAAAATGTGATGGTCGAAACCATCATTTGTTATTTACCTACCCCCATGAGAAGTAATTTGAACTGTGGTACCAAGTTCTGGATCTTGAAGCAAAAATCCGTAGTCCTCAGGGTGTTTAAGTGTTAATTTGAGAGCCCAAATGGAGGATTGAACACTTTAATTTAGCAAGCCAAGTCTGAAACTTGTACAAACTTTTCCTTCTGTTTCATTCCATGTAGGGTTTGCACCGAGAGCTTCCCTTTGAGCTTCAGGTTTGAAAGGATGTAAAAATTCAAAGCAAAGTTCAATCCAAACACGCAAGCATCACCTGGTTTTTGCCTCAAAATCATGCAATGCTGCAAGCCTATGATATGAAATGGGCCCAAATTGACTCCAAATTATTTAGATCATTAGTGAACCTCTCTCCAAGAACCTGCTCCAGTAACAAAAGCCAGCACCAAGCAAGTCATGTGTGATTTGGTGGTTTCCATGAAAAGTCTGTGCATAGCAGTAAGTATTATTTGCAATTCAGCTGTCTTTGAAACAGCATGGGAAGGGAAAGAAGATGGATCTGCAGTTGTGAAGTGTACATTTTTTCCCTCCATTTATACGGTGAGCCCCCGTTAGTGTCAACAAAAGTTATTCTGGAGGGTGCAGCAAGGCGAAAATAGACTCCAAAATATTTTCCAACCAAAGTTAGGCATAAGGGAGAAGAGAGAGAAGCATGAAATATTGATGGTACCTGTCTCAGCAGAAAGGAGACTACATCTGTCGATTCCCAGTAGCTTGCATGGAAGAGGTGTGGTAAGGCTACCGTCGGAAAGGCAGTCAGTGCATCGGGACAGTAAAGGGCATAGTCTATTCTTTTTGTTCCCCACCATCTGGCAGCAACTAATGAAAGAAAAGGCTTGTTAAAAAGAGAGGAGTGAGCTGTTTTAAATGTTAACCTTAGGCCATGGGTCCTTGCGCTGGGCAATTCTTTCCCCATTGATTTTATTGTTAAGATGGAGCAGTCTTTGAACAGGGCTCAAAAGTATTAACGAGCCACCCAAGGATAGTACGAGGCACAGAGCATGACATCTTCTTTATTCAATCAAACAGGATATCCCTGGAGGAGGCAGTAACTAGCCATTAATCCACACCCCTGGGGAATGTGAGGCTGGTGACTCCATGCCCAGCCAGGGTATTAGAGGCCATTAATACATACCCTAGAGTCTCTTGTGCATACTAGAACAGCGATAATCAAAATAACTTTCAGATTAGACGGGGCATGTACATGTCATCAACGCTCCTGGGGACAGCCAGTGGGTGTCCTCGGTGCAGGGTCACTCCCACTCACAGTGAGTTTGTGACAATGTGCTGATACCGTGGTGATGAGGATCAAACAAACCTCTCAATCCGTACAGCAAAAATGGAATAAAAAGAGTCTCTGCCCTGGAGGTGGGACGGGGGAGAGCCATGGATGCGTCTACGTACTGCAACCTTTCCCAGACCTGAAGAGTTCTGTGTAAGCTCAAAAGCTTGTCTCCCTCCTCAACAGAAGTTGGTCCAATAAAAACTATTGCCTCACCCACCTTGTGTGTCTAATATCCTGGGACAGCCACAGCCACAACAACACTGCACACATATACCTGAGTCATTTTCAGCTCCATGGGCCTGCTTTAAGCAGAGGCTAGCAGATGCTGTTAAAGGCAAAAAACTAAACAAACAGGATATTTCTCTTTAATTTTCACTGAGGCATAAGCCCTCTCAAACCCAGAGAGTTAAAATCCCATATTTTATTATTAATATCAGAAGCAGAAGTGAACAATATAAAGGCAATGGAGTCACAGGTTAGCTGCTATGGAAAGACATGAGCGAAACACTGGGAGGGGGAAAGAGACTGGATTATGAGTAAGGCCCATAGTGAAGCATTCATCATCACCACCACCACCACCACCACCATTCTGCAGGCGGCCAGCCTCTGGAGGGCTACTGAAGCAACTTGCTCAGCCTCTGCAGGAGCGAGTGTCTTCACAACCAACCCTCCGGCCCACCAAGAGAACCAGTGAGGACTCGCTAAACCCTGCAGCTCTCAGAACAGAGGCTCTGGCAAGCTTTGAGGATGGGGGCATTAAACGGTGAAGATACGGACGAATCTCCAGGTCTACTGGGACAGGGGCTACAGGGGAAGCCAGTAGCTACAGGGTAATTTAAAACCCAGCAGAAAAGTCAATGACCGTATTTTAATACCAAGTCATTCTCTCTTCTAGTAACAGAGCCACACTGCAGGGATATCAATGGGAGTGAGGTGGTGACGCGGAAGTGCTCAATGGGGGCAGTTTGCACACAGATCACCACCAAACACAAGGAACAGCCAGTCAGATCCTTCAGCTAGACCAGAAGGTTCCCAACTTCTTCCCTGTAAAATGGATCCACATTCCCTCCCATGCCCCACCCCACTGCCCAGATCCCACTCCCCACTGTTGCTCTTCAGAATATCTCCTTCTGCAAGACCACAGTTTGAGACCCACCGGCAGCCCACAAGTGACACCTGGCCAGTGGCTGTCACACTTACCCGATTGGGGCACTGCCACGGTTTAACCCCACATTGAGCGCCATTGTAAATAACCACGTGATCACCTTTTCAAATGGGTCAGACTGAGAACATTTCAGCGCATAGATTTCAGTGCCAAAAGCAAGGGGCTGACTTTCTAAACGCAGGCAGCCTTGAACTCCCACATGGCTTTGTGATGAAAAAGCACCCACAGAAGGAGATGTAGAAACCCCAGAGCAGTGGTGTTAGGAGGAGTTACTTCTGCATGCAAGTTGCAAGCTGGGGCTTGGACAAGGAGCTTGGGATTCCCTAGAATAGCTTTGCTGGTTCTCTTGAGAACGTTCTCCAATAAGGCACCAGACACAAAAACGAGACAGCTTGACATGGGAGGGGATGTGATAGCTGCCACCAAGCAGACACCTCATTTGAAAATCTGGGCCCAAGGGAAGAGTTGCCCACTCTCTCCACAAATGAGCCGATGACTCCTCTGCAGGCTGTCCTGGCAGGAGCCACAGCAGGGTGATCTGAGGTATGGCGTTGGTATGTGCATACGCCCCCTGGTCCAGCAATGGTGGCTATGAACCAGGCTTCCCCAGGCCAACTATCCCTGATTCTAGCAAGAATAATGGGCAGGGTATTCTGCTGGCAGCCAGAATACAGGTGCTGCCTTTTCTGAGTATAGGTGAGCCAGTTCC